TAATGTACGACAAGCTACTGTCGTATACAGTATCAAATACTGTTGTACCCCATGTCGCTGTACCCCATGTATACAGCGATCTGTTTTCACTGTAAAAACATCAAATAATTGCTCAACTTCGGCACTGTGCACTAGCCATGATCACAATTATCCTAGAATGGTTGCGACTTTGACATACTTTCCATTGAAATGAAAATTAAAAAGTATTCCTGTTTTTAAGTTTTTAAAATTAATAGTCAGCAATCAGGAACACAGAGCAAATGATCGAAAGAGAAATATCACACAACTCCAATGATTCGACATCTAAAAAAGGCTAAATAAATAAAAATAATGTTTCTAGAAAATTGATCCATCGAAGATAATAAAGCTACCATAAAAGTGTTATTACCTAATAAAGAAATCCCCAAATTTGGCGTTCATTTAATATTTCACTTTAGCCAATTATAATAAATGAAACTTACCTTCAGTACTCTCCTTTTGTGGAACACATTATAGACGTCTCAGAAATATCTGCATTAACTTACAGGTGCCAGATTCCTTTTGCTGGCCTCTCCACATATACTTAGGTACGAATCAAATAGCGTCTTGACTTGTGCAGCCTTTTCTAGGATTAAGCTCCTATGGGCATTTGGAATCCCAAATCTGGAATTTGTTTTATTATCTATTTCATATTTTAAAGCATTTATGAGTTTCTGATTAATAAACTCAACAATTTCAAAGCGAGCAATGGCAATACTGCACAGAACAAAAAAAAAAAAAAAAAAAAAAAAAAAAAAATCCTCCATCGCGTGAGATTGTGTATCGGAAATTCTAAAGATATGCCCATTTAAAAATTATTTTTCGATATTGCTGTTGAATTGAATTTTATGATTTAAGTGCGAAGAACGTGATATTTAATAAATAAAGGCAGCACACAAACGTTAAAAAAAGCCCTTTTTGGGCGTAATGTAAAATCTGAAAGCTTTCGGATTTTTAGTCCAAAGGGGCTTTGCCCCTGAAGGACTATTGCTTTCGTTTTGCAATTTTGCGTTGAATCACTATAAATATCCGTTTCACTCTTCAAACTGTTGCCACCAAATGTGCTGCATTATATTTGAAGAAATTAAATAAGGAGAAATATGCATAAATGTATGTATATTTCTCGCATTGTGATAAAACAACGGTACATAGAGCCATCGAATTTTAAATGACGTAATCCTTCTACGAATATGTGCATGTGGAAGACCAAATTCGGAATCTCACTCTTCAAACTGTTGCCACCAAATGTGCTGCATTATATTTGAAGAAATTAAATAAGGAGAAATATGCATAAATGTATGTATATTTCTCGCATTATGATAAAACAACGGTACATAGAGCCATCGAATTTTAAATGACGTAATCCTTCTACGAATATGTGCATGTGGATAACCAAATTTGGAATCTGGAATTCGTTTTATTATCGATGTCATATTTTCTAAAACTTTAACGAAATTTTTGAGTAACAAACTCAACGATTTAAAAGCGAGCAATGGCAACACTCTACAAGAAAGAAAAGACCTTTTTATCTCTAGCGCGCGTAACTCAGTATCGGAAATTCTAAAGATATGCTCATTTTAAAATTATTTTGCGACATTGCTATTAAACTGAAATTTTATGGTTTAAGTGGAAAGAACATGATATTTAATAAATAAAGGTAACACACAAAACGTTAAAAATACATCCCTTTGGTCCTAATTTAAAATCTGAAATCCTTCAGATATTTTTTTTTTAAATTTTTGTTATTGTTATTTTCAAGGAATACTTGAGTCCGTCTCATTGTTAAAAATAAATCCGTTTCCAAGATAGATATTGTTAAGTCACGCATTCTTAGAAATTATAGCATACATTGTTTACCTCTGTAACAAAACGAACCACCTTTTGAGAAAGGTACTACATAGTAAGACATTTATGTTTCTTAAAAGCGATAAGATTGATAGTAAAATATTTGCTGTTTGATCTGTAAATATTTTTTTCAAATAAAATAATAACTCTTTTAAAAATTACCTGCAAATATTTATATCAAGATTATTTTTGTGAAGAGGCATTTTTAATGCTGTATATTATGCATCTCGGTTGCAGAGTGTATAATTCTTATAAGTTTGCACTAAAAAAATTCTTATGAAAGGATGTGGAACTAATAACGTTTTATAACAACGTATGTATTACAATCATTTCATTTTTTAAAGATTTTAATCAAATAGTAAGTACAGTTTTATTAGATGGCAACAAAGAACATAATTTTTATTTCAAAGGACGAGCGAAGTTTATATGATTTCTCTCTGCATTGTGTTTCATCAAGGTTTACTCCTTACAATTCGAAATCTTTTCGGCTTTGTAATTTACATGTCATCCATATGTATGATCTAAAGTATTTTTCATTACAAAAGGTCCTGTTAGGCCTTTTTTTTCTCGCAGTCTTTCTGGACTCTTTGGTTACAAGTTGTGATTCATTTCAAGGAGTAAATGTGGAATCGACAAATAACGGGAAAACATTTTACTTAGATTTCTTCAAATGTGTAGAAGCATCAGGATTGAAACGCAAAGCCGTTTTGTCATGGAAGTTACTGTACGTTTTCTTCATTTGAAGAGGTTAATACCCGAATCTTTTGATACTTTGCAATTGCAAATGGATTTCTGTATTTGAAGTCTTGACATCGAAAGATTCTTTTTGCGAAATGGAACTTCCAAACATTTCCAATATATTTTAAGATACGAGAAGGTAATTTTGAATACTACAAGTTTTGGAAAGTAATTGGTGTGAGTATAATAATCCGTTTAATACTAGCATTTCTTTCTTTAAGATAATTTAAATAGTGATATTTTAAATCCCGCCGTGATGACATAAGATGTAGGAAATAAAATCAACATACATTAATCCACGACCTGATAAAACTAGTGTTTCAGAAAATATTTATTTATTCAAAATTATTTTTTTAAACTTGTTACGTCATTTTCACCTTTTTATTAGGAATGATATTTGAATATTGAGGTTTAGATTTCGAAAGACTATTTGTGAAAGGCATCAGAAATGCAGTGATTTTGAAAATACGACTCAACTTCTTGGTTTTAAATTAACTGAATTATTTCAGCCAAAGAGTTCTATGGAATTCATTTTCTTGTTGACAGAATTGTAACAATTATTTTTTTGTTTTTGTATCTTTGTAGTTCAAAGAGGTGAAATTGAGCTAATTAAAGAACCAGGTTTGCAAGCATTGCAGAAGTTCATGTCTGAAATACAAAATGAGCTTTCCTTTCTTACACACATACTTTGCGCTAGAAATATGATATAATTTTAAACATACATTGTTCTTTGGAAATAGTAGCTTTTTTAATGGACAGTACTAAGCTAGCAAACTTCAGCATGTGTCTCTTTCAAAACTTGGAGAATACGAAGTCGGTATTTCAGCTCTAGCCACTTCAGCATTAGTCTTCAACATTTGGTCTTGACTGTTTCAACACACTTGAAACAGCATTTATTATTCTAGCCTTTAAAGTATGAATAACACGAACTACGAAACATATTAAAACTGAAATTTAGAGCAACATAACAACATTTAGAAGGTTGCGTTTTACGAAAAATAGGAACATAAAAATTGCGTACCTTCTACAATATATACGCTTTCAAATTTAACTGGATTTGTATAAATCCGTACTCGCATTGTGTCACAGAAAATATAAACTAAACTTTTCTACATTTCAATGTGTAGACAACACTGTAATATTTCTTACTGAATTCTTCTTATTATTGTTTTAGTCAGCAAAGAGAATTTATGTCTAAATTCATGTAACTCCTTCTAATTACAAATCGAAATGCATTTCTACTTCTGAAATTTAAAGCAAGCTTAATAGTTTAATAGTTTTTAATTTGTAGCTTAATAATTTTTTTATAAATTTCATAATAATTTTTAAAAAGTGTAGTTCATAGCTTAATATTTTTTTAAAAACTGCAAGCAACAAAGCAGAAACAAATTTTACGTAAACCAAAAGGTAGTACAGAATGAGTCAATTCATGTTGCAGATAAGTTACATTTAATAGGCATTAATATACTGAATACTAAAGATTAATGGCATTATAATTTCTGTAAAAAATTATGGATATTATGGGATGCAATAAGGTTAAGCTTCAAAATTAGAATTATTAAATTAAAGGTAAGGAAACTTTGTATTACTGTAAATATGTATTCTTCGTGTAAACACTAAAAAGATATGCATGTATTTTAATTACAATATTTAATATATATAATTATAGATATTACAAAATCCAATCTAAATTTATTTTAATTTACGAACTATTGCATTAAAATCTGATAAAATATAAATTATTTTCTTTAAAATTTTAAAAATGTTTAACACACATACAGTTACATTTCTCTGAGCAGTTGCTCGAATACTTAACTCCTTGCGATAGATTTCGATATATTGTTTATTGAAATATAGCTTCTTCTATTATATCTCTCCCTATTAGTTACAATTTACTATTAAAATACCAATATGCATTTTCAAACTCGCTTTTTCACAAACTATTTTAAATAACACAATATTTGAAGTCTCTCTGCTCCGGAAAGGCTTTCAACTGGCTGTATCCTTCTGAAGAGCCGTTAATAGTTATAACCGCAATACGCTTTTAAAATGATGCACTAATACAAATGCGGAAGGAGCAAGCATTAGAATATGGGGGTAATACTCTGGTGTAAGAACAGTTTCTGTGACATAAAGTACACTACTAATATTCATTCAGAATACGTATATCTAAAAAAAAACTTGCTGAATAAAATTTTTTCGCTTAAATAATTATAAGATTATCTCATACCATTTGCATTTAGATAGTTTTGCTTACATCAGGCATCCCATTTTGAAATGTCGGAAGGAAAGGGGGGGGAGACCGTTAGAAAGTGCAAACCGTTAGCAGGTGCAAAGCCAGGTAATGATGTTACGGTTTAGATCTATTTTATGGGGAAGGGGGGGAGGATGTTTTTTAATCTTGGAAGCATCTTTGGCATTAAATCTCCGCGAAGATCTCCATAGACTCCTTCAAGAACATCAAACCGCCATTTTTACATAGCTGCCTGCTTGAAGCTTTGCATGAAATGCTTGGCGTTTTTTACAGATATACCAGCAGTAATTGATGATGTCTTTGGAACAGTTTAAAGAAAAAATATCTACCTACAATTTTCCTCGTAAGTTATGGATGTTGGCCAGCAACAAGGATATCGATTCGGTATTTTGGGTAAAAGGTGGAACAGCAATAATGATCGATAGAAATAGTATTGAACGGGAGTGCTTTGCAACAGGTATATTTAATGTGACGAAAACTAGTCATCTACTGCGACAGCTATGTTATTATAACTTCAAAAGAGATTATACGTGTAAAGAGTAAGTAAAATTTATTATGCTTACATTAATTTACATGAAAAATTCGTTTTAAGTACTTCACTGATTCTTGAAATGAATAATCAAAAGTAATGAAATATTTCATTTCAGTATTGTGTTCATTTTTGGATGTGCGAAATTAATTAAAAATTTTTTATACTATTCGATTCTATTGTTTGATTTCATACGAAATAACATATTTAAATTTATAATATGCTAAAAATTTTAAATTAGACACTTATTTAAAAGCGAGCAATAAATCTTTATAAGTTTTTTTTTTAATTTTAAATTAATTCAATTAAAAATACATACTTATCTATTCTTTTTTTTTTTTGTGGATATTTATTGTTTTCTAAAACTGAAACAAATGCTTGATTAAAGCAACATCTTATAAAAATATATACTGGAAGATAATGGCTTTTTTCTAGGAAGAGTTTAATTTGACTTCTCAGTGTTAAATATACTGTACTATAAAACAGGAAAATCTTTTGAATTTTGTAAAATTAATTGTTCTTCAAAGAAAATTAAATATGATTTCTTAAAATATTTTCAGGTTTTGATGAAGGTTTCAAAAATGACACTGTTTTATTTTATGTTCTCGAACACTACTTTAAAATTTTATATCATATTTAAATGCTATATATAATATATTACATTTGATTTCTGTGAAGGTATCAGAATATTCAGCACAAAATTAGATTTTCTTTCAGTTTTATAGAAATATTTACTTTGTTAGTTTCGAAAATATAAATATTTTCTTTCGTGTTTTTGAAAGCTACTGAAAATGAATTAATTCTGTTAGGGTATCAAAATATCCAGCATCGAATAAAATTTCATTAAATTTTATAGAAATATTTATTTTCCTGAATTAGAATACCTGTAGTCAAGAATCATATTTTATTATGAAACGTTAAAAAAGAAAAAAAAATATCAATTTAAGTTTAAAAAAATGTGTATTAAATAAAGATGTGCATTACTTTGTATACAATATAATAAATTGCAAAAATATGTATGTATTTGTTGTAAACTTAAGGATATGTGTTAGAGAAATTCATAGTTTATTCCTTTTTATGTGCATATAGATTGGTGAATAAAATATGCGTAACCACCCTAATAATTTTTCGAGGAAATATTAAAGATAGCTTGTAAGTTCTTTCTAATTAAAAAGAGATTACTTTTATGCATAGATTAAATCCCAGCCTCTGAAGAACAAACTCATAAAATGACATTTTACGAGATTAAAAATTAATATTTCTAAGCTTTCCTCTTCCTTTAATTCAAGTACTATTTATTTGGAGAATTTAATCATAAATGGGTAGAGAAAGGCTGGCAGTTAAGGCTCTTTTCTCTATTCCACGGCAGAATGAACAATTATAATAAAGCTGTTTGCTAACCATGTTCCTCCTGAAGAACAGGTTCTTTGATAAAATATTAATATTTTGCGATGCTTGTGCTTTAAATTTCTAGGTACTTTAGTAAATTTTTTTATTAATTTTTAGTATTTGAAACTCTATGTGCCTTTAGTTGGCAGGAATTAATGTACTCAGATTATGCATATTTTTTGTTTTCTTTCTGAAAGTCTTCGTGAAACATGATTCGAAAATAATTTAATCTTTCTCCATATGTTAAAACCATTATGAAAAATCAGGTAATTTTTTCAGTAAAGGCTAGAAATCCGATATTTTCTGAGGATAGCTATATCATTATATTGGTGTGCTTATAATTAAATTAAAAAATAAAATCAAAATTCTTCCTTTATTATCCTTTTCCTTCCATAAAACCAATTTTTAAAAAGTCACGATGAAATCCATATAAGTGTTTTGTAATTTCCTTTTCTTTCAAAATTGGTTTTCAAATAGATTAAAAATATGATTTTTGAGGGAAAAGCTCATACGTTTAGAAATGAGAGGAATTGTTTAAAAAAGTTAATTTCACCTTAATTATTTTGTTTTCTTTTAAAAAAATAGCTTCTCAATAAACGGTAACAATAATTTTTGCTTTGGAATTACACACAGACAAAAATCAAGGATTTCTTTTTTTAAAACTTATTTAATTGACACAAATTTCTAGATATCAAAATTCTCAAAATATCATTGGGTAATTTTCTTTTAGGTATTATGGGTAAAAAAGATTTGTAAAAATTCATTTAATTGCCTTGCTAAACTTTCAGAATTTCAAGGATGTAGCTATTTGAAAATCCTTAGCTCTTGTTGTACTCTGAATCAAAGTTTGTAATAGTTTATATATATCTGTTAATGCATGTTTTAAATCGAAGTAAACATATTTCAATTTTACCTCGGCAACAGCATTTATTAAGAACGGTGAAAAATACAAAGGAAAAGTATCATTTCGTTTCTCATTAATGTACAGAAGCAAAAATTGACCAGTATAAATGAAAATTCGGTGGAAAATTGATAACTTAATTAATGGACGTGCAAAACGTATTAATGTTAAAAATCCTGTATATAGCCAATTTTGATTTCTCTAATATTACATTCTAAGTAAATTTCATAACACTTACATTTTGCTTTTATAAATAACTATTGCATTATATATATATATACCAGTAAGGAATAATTTAACCTATCATATTCGCACTTTTACCCGCTGAAATTAATCTCTGTCTCTGTTATTAAATAATGAAGAATCTGGATGTATGTACATTCCTCTCATCCTGGGAGAATGGTTAAATCCTGAGCTCACATAGTCCTCCAGCAGACACTGTGCATCTCGAAGCACGATTTTAATTTTCTTCCCCCCTTTTTTTTAACTTCCTACTTTGAGTGAATTCAATGACATTTTGATTAACAAACTCGATGATTTAAAAACAATATGTTGTCACTCAGCAAAGCTGAAGATATTTATGTTTAAAATTTAATCAAAAAATTGGGCGATTTAAAAAAAATGCAGAAATGTAAATCTTTGCCACTCAGAAAATATTTAAATATTTGTCTTTAAAATTTAGTCTACAAACTCAGCGATTTAAGAAATATGTTCCCATTGATCGAAATTAAATATTTTTATATTCCACTCGTCCTGTAAGCGTAAGGCACCCGTCCAAAACGTAGGGCATTTAATTTTCCTTTCAAATTTAATATGACTGTTACTGAACAAACTGAGCAACTTAAAAGCGATTGTTCATTCTCTATTATTTTTCATTATTAGCTAGACCTATGAAATTGCAGTAGCTAGATGCATTAACAGAACTATATATTTTTCTTTTTAGTCCAAAAGAGACTTTAGTCCCGAATGGGATATTAACCTGGAAACGGTATTTTGCGTTGAATCATTATAAACGGCGTATCAGTTTTTAAGTTGTTGCCACCAAATATTATCGCCCTGTATTATATTTAAAGAAATTAAATAATGGAGATTTTGCATGAATGTACGCATATTGCTGGCGTTGAGGAAAATCAACGGTACCTAGAGCCATCAAATTGTGAATAATGTAGTCCTCCACCCAGACATGGGTACCTGGAATCCAGAATTTTGAATTTCCACTTAGTTATGTTATCTATGTCATACTTTGTAAAACTTTAGTGAATTTTTGAATAACATATTCTACGATTTCAAAGCGAGCAGTGGTAACACTGTACAAAAAAAAAAAAAAAAAAAAAAAAAAAGTCTCTAAAGCGCAAAACTGTCTATCGGAAATTCTAAATTAAAAATTATTTTGGAATTTTGCTGCTGAATTAAAATGCATCTGGCGTAAGGGCGAAGAATGTGATATTTAATAAATAAAGGTAAAAACACAAAACGATAATAATAAAAAGACAGAAAAAAAGTTTTGAAAGCTGTCTTAGCGAGAAAACTGAACATTAATATAAACTTAAAAAAGACTAAAAAAAAAAAAAAAAAAAAAAAACCGCAGAGAAATATATGCCAACATTTTAAGCTGCAGCTGAAATTCTAAACGTATACTGCTATGCTGCTTTTATAATTTCTGAAATTTCGCTGTTAAATTGTATATGGCGTAAGTGCGAAGAAAATGATGCTTCATAATAAAGCTAAAAAAAGGGGTTAGTAAGAAGGAGTGTAGCAGGTGGTAGACTGCGAGCTCAACGAGAGCGTAGGAAACCTTAACAAAACGTTTTGGACGACCATTAAAATATGAAACTTTTCAGATTTCACTCCCTTTAAAAAATAAAAAAATAAAAAAATTCTTGTTTTAGGCAGTTAAGTGCGCAAGTGACTAGTAAATAAATTTGAGGGGAAATTAAAGAATAGAAGTATTTAATCATCGCATTTAAAGTCACGAAGAGCGAGAACATAATAAAATTACAATGATACTTATATATATATATATATATATATATAATTCTAACTATTGCAGTGCAATATGAAGAAAAGTGTATATAATGTTCTTCAAAATTAGAAGATTGTTAAGAATACATACAAATATAGTTCTTACCAAGGATGAAGCAATTTTGAGCAGAAATCTTTCACTTTCATTTATTAAACCTAAATAGACAAATATTAGCATTTTATGAATATAAATTGTATGATTCCAAAAGTAACAAATCATTGGAAATTCTTTTGACGTAACTTATAATCTGGTTCTTCAATCACATGTCGTATCAAAGTTTGCTAATGAAAGGATTTTTCTTCTTAATAAGGCTTACAGAAGTTCTTCACACATTTTTTAGATGACTTTCATTATATTTACCGAAACATTTTACTTAACATTTTTGTGTTCTAAATGTTCTATTTGATAACGCTTATTCTTCCCTATCTTTCTACACCATGATTTCCAAGACAATAAAGACTTCGAAAGTCTAAGAAGGTTTGCTGGTGGACGTTTGCTCAGTTCTCTTTTTAAGTCCAAAAGCTCAAAACTTCATGGATGATATATCAAAAGATTTAGTAAGGATATGGGTAAAAGGTACAGCTTTAACAATTGTTTCTTGTTCCAATTTTTCCAGGAAATTAACATAGGATTTTGATGTGTGGCTATTTGCTTTGTCTTGATGCAGCTCTGTTGATTGATGGCTCTGTGTATGAAA